TATATATACATACACATACATACATACATACACCATTGCCTTGAAATTTAGTTTCTCTTGATAATGTAGCATGTAGTGGATATTTGGGGGCTAGTTTTCTTCTAGAAGTAGATTTTGGAAGTCATCATCGAATTACTTTGTTCCTTAAGAAAAAGGAAATTTGAAATTGGTTTTATAAAATGATCCCTGTTACTGGGCATGGTGGCACATGCCTATAATCCCAGCACTCAGGAGGCTGAGGCAGGAGGAATGCGTGAGTTGGAGGCCAGCCTGGGCTACATAGTGAGACTGTGTCTTAAAAGACCCAAACAATAAATAAATAAATAGATAAATAGGTAGATAGATAGATAAATATTATTTCTGAGGTTAAACCCTTGCAATGAAATATTTTATGTGATGCCCAAATATTTACTTTAAAATGAGGCCTTGAAGCCATTGTTCTCTCGGAGTAGCGTGTGTGGCTAGCTGCGTCCAGGAACTTTTGAAAACTCTGGGCCCTCAGCCTCACTGACACTTTTTCACAAATTTTCCAGGTGATTCTTACATACCTTCAATTATGAGAACATGTTGCCTGAGATGTGTGTTTCAGACGTTTTCTTTCTTCCTTCACTACTTACTGTAATTCATAATCTGTGATAATAAATACTGATGCTTGCCGGTGTTTATTGAGTATTTACCATGTGTAGGCACTGCCCCGAATACCGGCGTAACAACTCATTTCATTCTCAAATCTGTGAGTCAGAAGCTATTACAGAAGTGGAAGTATTGAAGGAAGACCAGGTAACTTATCCAGAGTCACACAGCTGGTGAGAGTTGAACTTGGTATAAATCCCTCGTTCCTTTCCCCTGGACATGGGGTCTCCCTTTTCACGGCAGGGCCTTGTGCTATATATGTCCACTCCACTCAGTTACCCTTGGGTTACCTGTGCTCTTGCACCCTGTGGCCTCCAAGAGAATTGTGCTTGTGCCTCAGTTTACCTCTAGAGTCTCTCCCACTAGTCATCCTTTTGTTTCACTGCTCAATCTCCACTTTGGAGATGTTTAGGTATCTGATTGATGGCTCTTCTAGAACAGAGATGTTCATGCACCAGAATATCTGTTTTTATCCCTGCCCTGGAAGATTCCTGCAGGAGGCTGCATGACACTGCTGCCCCGTGCACCTGCCTGCCTGCAAAGGAGTCACCACCAGCAGCAAAGTGAAGGAAATTCCCAGTGTGCCGAGGATGAGCAGGATTTTTCCCAGGGTCTGCAGAACACTGCCTGGGTGCAGGAGGATGTTTCCATAGCGCCTGTGAACTTGCCAGCCCAGCTGTGAACTTGTCACAGCTTCCCTTTCACTGTGGCAGCAACTCCTTCCAACCACGGATGTAATGTGACATCCTCCCCGCCATGCCCAGACCTGTGGCTCTTGTCCCAGCTACAGTGCAGCCCTTGTTGAGGGTTACCCGAGTGGCTTCAGCCTCACCTGAGAGCCAGCATTTTCTCACCACCTCTGTGGCATCGGAGTAAGGGGAGGGGCGAGCGAAGCTCCACTGGGCAGGACGTGACTTCCAGGGCCGCCTCTCCCATTGACAGCGCTGTTGTCTGAGCAAACTGAAGAAGCTTCCACTTGGACAAATGGAGTAGTTTGCTCCCTGCAATGGGAAGGTGATTACTGATGCATAGGGTGGTGGTGAGGGATAAATATCTGGTTGATGCCAGATAACATAATTAGCTGGTATCTGTAAAGTGCCCTGCATGGGATGGGCTGTGGCTTTGCAGTAAAGGATCTCAGCTGCTGCTGGAGACAGCGATGGTGACAGTAATTGTTAGGACAGGAGGTGTGGGACACATGTCCAGCATTTCTCCTCTGCGGTGGGGCATTCTCTACTTCCTTTATGCACCCTCTGCACCGTTCTTTGTGAATGTCCATCTTTGACTGTATCGTGAAACAGGATGTGTGCTACTTTGGTTCCCTACTGAAGGCCAGCCTGGCATTCCCCAGACTTTTGTGATGTAACGGAATAAGATGACTGCATTTTGGATACACTCTCCGTGTAACCAGGTTGATAATTTGGTTTCAGTTTGAATAGAAAACTAATATTTAAGGAGTTGCTTAGATTATATACTTGAAAACTTTTGCCAGTAAACTTACCCACGTTTTATTTGGAATCTAATTTGAGCTATTCCCTGTTTTTCTGCAAAAACACCCAGATTGTTTCCATATAAACGAAAAGAAAAGAAGTGTTAGACAGTGTCCCAAGTTTATCTCTGAGTTTTAGCCAGTTTAAAAAGGTACAGCCTGTGTAAGCGCATGACTTTCAGATACACTAGTCGGAAATATACATGAATAAAATAAAAATTGAGAGGTTTCTTTCTTCATTGACTTCCAGCAGTAATTTTCTGTCATCCCTTGCAGAACTCAGTAGGACCCCTTCCTTCTCCAGCTGCTGTCCTTGTCTGGACCCTTTGTGTGTAGAGCTATGCCTTTCAGCCTGGTGTCACTGGTGGCATTGCCTAGAAAATGTACCTCTGTCAGGTGGCAAAATCAACACCTTTTCTATTTGTGTAAGGAATGCGTTTCCATTGTGATTTTTAAAAAAAATTCTCTGAAAATAAGAACTAAAAAAAAAAAATTGTATCTCAGGGAGAACTTGTATTTCAGACAGCTCACCAAGTAGCTTGGTTCTTTGAGAACTGCCTCAAAGTGATGACGTTTGGAAAGAGCAGAGAAGGGCTGAGAAGAGGGAAGTGAAGTGTTCGGTTTCCTTCTGGTTAGGGGGTTAGGGAATGGCCCTGGGACAGCACCCCGTGGATGTGTCTTTACGGGTCCCCTGGCCTTTGTTGGGCAGCCGCCTTTGACTCTGTGGCAGTTGACACTGTTTCCCCTCAGCTCGTCGATCTTCTGTCATCCGATCTCCTTATTCTCCTTCCCAGCAACCTCCATGCGATCCCCAGTTCTCTTGGCCTGAACCCCGGGTGTCTTGGCCTACTGTTCAGCGCTGTCTAGTTTTTGGTCTCCTTTGCAGCCCCAAACTGCACTGCTCCTTCATGGAACCAGCCTCTACGCTCAGCCATGCTTGTCTTCTCCTTCCTACCCTTGACCCTGTGTCCAGTCCTGCTTGTCTTCTGTGGTCTTGATCAGCTGCAGTACAGTCCACAGGAGACCTATCCTGCCTCTGAGTTATTGGGACCACTCTCATCCATACCCTCC